CGACTTGCGCTTGATAACAAAGGTGAATTGTTGCAGATATACTGCCCAGTTGGCATGCTTTGACGAGAGCTTGTCTTGGCTGTTGATGTGCTTCAAAGCATCATGATCAGAAAATAGAATGAATTCACTTTGGGACAGATAAGAATACCAATGCTTCAGAGCTTGGACAATGGAGTAGAATTCCACATCATTAGTGCTGCAGTTGCTTATGGAGCCACTAAGCTTCTCACTAAAGTATGCAATCGGTCGACCCCCTTGGCTCAAGACAGCTCCAATACCCACTTTAGATGCATCACTGTGTAACTCAAAAGGGTTTAGAAAAATCTGGCAATATGAATACTGGTGCTGAGGTCAACTTCTGTTTGATGTGATGGAGTGCTTCTGTTGCTGCCTCCGTCCAACAGAATTTTCCAGCGTTCATGCAGTCTGTAATTGGGGCCATGATGCTACTGAAATTAGGAATGAACCTCAGGTAGAATGAAGCCAACCCATGAATTCATGAATATTTTTTGGTACTGGCCAGTCACGAATTGCATTTACCATGCTTATATCAACTGAGATGCTGTCTTTAGATATGACATAACCGAGGAACAAAACAGTATCTGTCAAGAATGAACACTTGCTGGTACCATCATAGAATTTCTCTTTTTGCAACAATGAAAGAACCTGTCACAAGTGCTGGAAGTGTAACTCATTATTAGCACCATACACGAAAATCATCAAAATAAACAACAAAAAAATTCCCTATAAAAAGGCCGAAATAGTTGGTTCATCACACGCATAAAGGTATTGGGAACGTTAGATAAACCAAACAGTATGACTAGCCATTCGTAAAGCCCCTCTCGTGTTTTGAAGGCTGTCTGCCATTCATCACCTTCCAGAATCCGAATTTGGTGATACCCACTTTTCAAATCCAATTTGCTAAACACGGTTGCTCCACTCAACTGATCTAATAAGTCATCCAATCTAGGTATGGGGAACCTATATTGGATGCGCCACGAACCGTCTTTCTTAGGGGTCAATAGTGCAGGCACTGCGCATGGGCTGAGGCTTTCTCGGATGTGTCCCTTGGCCAGCAACTTCTCCACTTGTCGGCGAAGTTCTTCATGCTCTTTTGGACTCATGCAGTAGTGGGGCCGATTTGGCAAGTTTGATCCTGGAATCAGATCAGTATGATGTTGTATGCCTCTCATGGGTGGCAACATTGGACGTAACTCCTCAACAAATACATCATGGAACTCTTCAATTAGAGCCTTCATAGGCTCTGGGATTTTACTCTCTGCAGCACTTTCTTTCCGTACCAGCACGAATACCATTCCTGTTTCAGCCACTTCCTCCAAGAACCGGTGCATAGACGAGAAGCTAGAACTCTTCTCAGTGATTAGTTTTGGTACTTCTTCTCTATGAGGTTCAAGAACAATTCAGACCTTGTTAAATACAAAGGAATAAGTGTTCCTTCGTCCATCATGTAAAACATGTCTGTCAAATTGCGAAGACCTTCCTAATAAAATATGACAAGCATCCATCTGATCCACATCACACCAAACCTTGTCCCTGTAGTTAGAACCAATAGATAATGAAACTAAACAACGCTTGGAAAATGTTATCTCTTTACCCTTCTGAAGCCATGATAGTTTGTATGGTTTGGGGTGTTGGTTTGTGCTTATTCCCAATTTTGTGACAGCTTCTGCAGAAATTACATTCTCACAACTTTCAAAATCAATCACGAACTTGCACACTTTTCCACTAATGGTACATGTGGATTGAAAGACGTCGTTTTGTAGCCACCCATCCCCTTCAACCTCTCAGGGTGTAAAGCAAGCCCTGCGTATAACTAATAAAGGCCCATCATCGCTAGCAACTCGTTCGTCCTTCTCATAACTACTAGCCTCGGGATCATTGGTAGGATCTTTTGGACTTTCATCAGTCCCATTGTCGGCAATCTCTTAACTATCTATAAATAGGCCCTTGCCCTTTCAATCACCTTTTCTACAATCTGCTGCCCGATGACCAGTTTCCCTGCACTTGAAGCAGCGCATCCTGCCACTAACAACAGGATTTCTGTTTGACTGTACTACTGGTGGTTTACCAACAATATCAAATTGTGTGGTGTCCCGTCTTGCCCTTGGTTGATTCGTATTCTGGTTAATTGTTGGCGGATTACAGTTGCCACTCGTGTTCCCACTTGACCATCCAGAACCTCCTGATCGACACTTTGACCTTTTCTCTAGTTGTATTTTCCTCTGGTGTGCTTCAGAAACAGAGTAAGGATCAAATAAATTCAGGATATCTTGATATTGTTCTTGCAAACCCCTGATGTACCTACAAACAAGTTGGTCTTTGGTTTCAACAAGGTCATTACGTGATACCAACTGATAAAACTTAGTGGTATACTCATCTATCATCTTCGTCCCTTGCCGTAAATTTTGCAATTGTTGGTACATCATGCGTGTATAGTTATGAGGAATGAACGCCATACGCATGTGTTTCTTCATCTTTTCCCAAGAAACAATTTTACTCTTTCCTTGTCTGCTTTGAGTTAACTGTGTCTGTTGCCACCAAGCCATTGCTCTTCCCCCTGAAGCGTGTGACTATCAAGGAAACTCGTTTGTTTTTTGGAACTTCCTTGAAGTCAAGAACCTCTTCAACAGCAACAAGCCAATCCAAGAATTCTTTGGGTTGAACACTTCCCCGAAATTCAAGGATGTCAATTTTCAAACTCGCTTCCTACGGACATGAACCCGTTTCCAAACCTTGTCGATCCCTTTCCTTGCGGAAATTTCCAACAAAAGCGTTGTCTTCTGCATCTCCCATACTGTCTTCGTCCTCCATACACCGTGGATTTGGTGGTGGTGGTGGTGGTGGTTATTGTTGTTGTTGCATCGCCGCAAGTTGTTCAGTCAGTGCATCAATATGTTGTTGCATCTTGGCGGTGTTAGCTTCATGAACGTCATCCATGGAGCGCTTCCTTGGTGCCATCGTAGCCTAGCCTCTGATATCAACTGATGCAGTGCGAAACGTGAAATATTAACAATCTTAGAATCCGATGATTCAAATGAAAATACTAGAAGCAAGATTTTTTTCTAAACTTGTTGATTCACAAATAATATTGAGAATAAAGGCTCAACAATGGTCGATTCACAAAGAATACCCAAAGTTGGAACAAAAAAGGTATAAAACTCGAAATATATTAATTCTCAAAAAATTGAAGAGCCCTAAGGTTAACATCCATTATTTATACGCAAAGACAGGCCTAACTTAACGAGAAAACAACCAGGATTGGAAAAAAAATCACGCTGCAATATGGAAATAAGGAAATATAATGAAAATTATCAAAAATAGAAATATTGCAATAAAAAGAAAACTAGTAATATATATTTTCACGATCAGGGCAAATTTTTCGAAATCAGATTCTAAGGCCTGTGCTAGGAGTAATTGATGTTTCAAATCTTTTCAAAAACAAAAAATTCGCGAAATTGACCACCTAAATGATTGAATTTGCCCAAAATCCATTGGGGTCCATGTTAAAGCCATGGATCCTTCTTAAAATCATGTTTGCCATTGACCTACCAAATGTCACACGATTTCAAGTCCGGCCTATTTTTTGCCTTTGCCTTGCCTTTCTCTTTGATCCAAGAATTGTATGGCCATGCATGCTACATCAGGTGTCCAAGTTCAAATTAGGTCTGAGCCATGGTAGCATAGTTTATAAAGGCACAACCTAAGCCATCAAGGTATCCTGGAGCTCAAGTGGAAGGTGCAACATAAAGTGCATGCCTTAGTGAAGTAAAGCACATATGTGGGCAAGTATATTAGATACACAGAGAACTGAAATTAATCTAAAATATGTAACACAGATTAGAAAAGGGGACATTTTTTGATAAATCAAAAAGAGAGTTAGCAATCATAAATGCATCAATTAAATCAAGCACCATTACAAATATGTAACAATAAAAAAAAAACCACAATCATAAATTCTATGGGTGTTTTGTTGTGTGTGAGAGAGAGCTTGAATGTATAATTCTTGATGTTAAGAATAAAGTACTAGAGATTGTTCAAGCAGTCAACCACAAAAGCTCATGCATCTGAATAGAAAACAAAAACACTGTGAAAAGATGAATCTATATTATCTAATTACAAGATCATGAATATGGTATGGCTTAAAAGGTATATCAATCAGAGACCACTGAAAAATATTTAGTTAAGGATGTGATTAATTTATTTTTTTAAAAAAGGCCTTTCTTGAGCATGGAGCCTACTAAAAGGCCAGTGGCTAACAGATTCATGTGAACCTGATGGAAAGGGCCTTGCTTTGCATAGTCTAAGTCACTTTCTCCGAGCCCTGACGAGCTTGGGCCTTTAAACAACTATGCATGCGGGTTCCGTAACAATGCCCGCCAGTTATCAGATTACTTAGAAAATATGAGGAAGAAGAACTCCGAAAATATGAGGAAGAAGGAATATATTTCTGTTATATTCAAAACTTCTTATTTTACCAGCTTTAAATAAGGCATTTAAATATTTGGCTAAATGATATGGCCTTTTATAATCCTTTCATTTCAAGCCAGAAAACTTTTATTGTAACTTATAATTATAAGAATGTCATCATTTTCCTTGTGCAAATCATAAGATCAACAATAAGGAGGCTTCCCTTTTTGTCTTTCATTCAGGTCTATATTGATGATTGGTTAGTCTATAAAACTAGGTATGTATATCAGCTTCTAAATTGACTTGACACAATGGCTTGCCGGTATTTTCGTTAACAATTGCACACAGTTCCCTCATTGCCTTCAGAGTTCAGACTCAACAAAAGATTTGAGGAACAAAAAAGGAAGTTTGTTGTTATATGATGTATTATTAATAAAACTTGTTCTGAATTGCGCCACATTACTCTTTCAATTTGAAAACTGATGTTGCGGTAGTTTGAAAAAACTACTGTGCCAAGCATAGAATACAATATTTTATATATTTCATTTAGTTTTTTGGGGATTGCATTGCAGCTCGCAGAATAGCGTTTACAATGACGGAGAATGGGTCGGCATTGGAAGCAGTATTTTCCTTGATAAATCAAATAGCAGTGGGTACAGTTCATGGTTCCTCTCAAAGGATCATCTCCAAGTGGGTGATACAGTTCGTTCGAGGAAGGCATCGAACACTTGCAAATCAAAAACAAGGGATGTGCTTGAGGGAACTGTAGTTGGTTTGGAGGAAACCGATCGAGATGGATTTGTGCTGGTGCGAATCCATGGAATGCACAACCCTAAAAGGATAAACGTATCAGCTCTTGAGAGGGTTACATCTGGTTTGGTGGTTGGGGATTGGGTGCGTTTGATTGAAGAAAATGACAAGCACTCCTCTGTGGGAATTCTACACTCCATACAGCGAGATGGAACTGTAACCGTAGGTTTTCTAGGACTCGAGACTCTTTGGAGAGGGCATTGTTCCGAGCTTCAGATGTCAGAAACTTATTCTGTGGGACAATTTGCAAGATTAAAAGAAAATGTCTTCACTCCCCGGTTTGATTGGCCGCGGAAAAGGGGAGGTGCATGGGCTACTGGTAGGATTTCACAAATACTTTCAAATGGGTGTCTTGTTGTTAGTTTTCCAGGGAGGTTTGTGTTTGGAGATGAAAACAATAGCTTCTTGGCAGATCCATCTAAAGTGGAATCAGTGTCTTTTGATAGTTGTCCTGGGATAGTGGAGAAGTATCAACACATTGAAGATTTTCACTGGGCTGTGAGGCCGCTAGTGATTACATTGGGCTTGTTCACAGCATTGAAGATGGGTTTTTTTGTTGGACAAAATGTGGGATCAAGAGTGAAGAAGGGCCGTCGAAAAAATCAGATGCCTGGTGATGGATTTTCTCAAGATGGGCAGAGCAGTGGCAATTCAGCGTGGCTTCCATCACCAGTGGCGAATATACTTTTTAGAGAAGGTCCTTCCACTGCCACTGCTAGGTAACTTCGTATAATGGAGAAGTACCCATTACATCACCAATTACTGTGGAACTTTGTATAATGTGAAGACAGATGTAAATATGTTTATACAGAGATGATATGTTGTATTACATTTTTACCTTACCAACTCCAAAACTAAGGGTTATGTTACCTCAGTTTAAGGGTTATGTTATTCACTTTTCACATACTCTTTTCACTCCTACATATTTTACACAATTTAGATATATTTTTATACATTGTTTACACTTGTATTAATGCTAATGACCACTCATTGAGTGGTTTTTAGCATTTACTTTTCAGCAAAATCAACTAGCTTGTTCGGAGAATGACATCCGAGCTTTGGTTGGTGTTCACAATGATCCTTCTTTTTGCCTAAGCATCATTGGTTGGTGTTCACAATGATCCACTCATTGGGGAGTTTCTGTCAAAGTATTTGTAGAGTTTCTGCTTTTTACTTATGGACTAAAATAACTTTAATAAGTTGAGAAAAAAAAAAAGAATGATTATTGAAAAATTAAAGGAAGGGCGATTTTAGTTTTTATTTTTGGATTATCAACTTTTTAATTTGTAAAAAGTTACACCAAATAGATCCTAACATGCTTGGCATATAGTATGTGGTGAAACTTGGTTCAAAACATCTACATTTTTTAATTGCCATAGGGTAAGATCATTCATTGGCTTTGGTTTTAATTTACATTTGTTTTATAGTATGTGGTGAAACTTGGTTCAAAACATTGACATTTTTTGATTGCCGTAGGGTAAGATCATTCATTGGCTTTGGTTTTAATTTTATTTAGAGGGCTTTTATTAGCATCTGTTTAAATTCTTTGAACCTCTCATTTTTTTGAGCCCCAACCCTAAATCTTAAATTTTAATAAATCTTTTTTGAACACCCCACTTAATACCAAATTTATTCCTATTCATAATAGTATTATACCCAAGGAACACCTACCTAATTTTGCACACCCTCTTTCCTTTTGATTACTGTTCATCTCGTGTTGAAAAGGATGTCGACGGTCATTACATCAGTAAACACCATTGCCTCAATGAAGAGCATTGCATCGATAGTTCATCATTGAAATTCCTATCGAGTCTTAACGAAAGGAGGTATCGACTCGACGGTATCCAAAGAATACCATTGAAAAACTCGTTAGAAATTCTTGTCTACCATTGTAGAAAACTCGTCAAAAATTCTTCTCAAGTAAATTCTGACTTCCCATCTTATCAACAATATTGCCTCTCTTCTTCCTATCACATTTTTATTTTTTGGTTTATTTCGGCATAAAAAGGGGTTTTAGAGGGAAAAACCCTCACGAAAAACACATTATGATATTGAATATACAAAAGCCGAACTGTTTTGCACACCAATACCGACTATTTGCATTACTCTTCAGAATCCATATATTGAACTAAATGTTTGTGTTCAGTACTGTGTTACTGAACATAATCTTAACAGTCGGAAAACTATTACCAAACAGCTTGAACAAAATAACAACGATTGAAAATGACTGAGAATGTTAATGCAAGACAGATAAACTTATCAATGGAATGCCAATCTCATCAGAATTGTTGTCATCGTCCTCTATTGTTCTACAAGATGAAATAACTGATGAAGAGTAATACGTTGGAATTGAAAATATCTTTCTAGTACAAGATTTTTGATTCAAGAGAGTTTATGATGGTGATAAAGAGGATATATTCAGGGTTTAAAATGATTATGAAAAGTAAAAATTTTAGGGTTTAGAAATGTGAAATATGTATAGCTGATGGTGGGAGTGGGGGTGGGGGTGAGTGTATAATGTTGTATAATGTTAGTTCTTTAGTTCTTATTTGGTAGGTGAGTATTCCATTAAATAATACATTTTAATGTAACTTTACTTTATGGTATAATTGTAATAAAAGAAAAATTAAAAATTGAGGGTCCAAAAAATTTAAGCAAGTGTTAATAGAAGCACTATTTATTTATTTTTTCTAAAAAAATAGAAAAAAAGTATACACATTTTTTGCACCAAAAAAATGCCAGCCTCAGTACACGTTAAAAATGCAGAAAACTCATTTGATAAACTGTTAATTATTTTTATTTTTATTTTTCATATGAAATTAAAAACACTATTAAAAAAACAATAGTGTGTTTTGAACTTCTCATTATTTTTGTTTTGGAAAACATAAAATAAAAAAATTTAAAAAGATAAATACACTTTTATCACCCAAAGAAAGATAAGATCATAATAACTACGTCAATCAGGGCGTTTGATCCACTTTCTTTAATTACGGGCCTGCAAAAGGACTAATATACCGGACTTGGCCCATTTAGATATCGTCATTCTTCTTATCGATCACAAAGCTCCACAGAAAATTGAAGATTTCAGAGACGAAAAAGATTCAAGAAACAGAGATGAAGAGGGCGTTTTCTCAACCCCTTTTGTAAATCTATTTCTCTCTCCAACATCACTCTGTTTTTAATTTTCTTTGCGTTTTCCGGGAAACCAAACGCAACTCGATTGTGTGCAGGAAACACTGCGAAGAAAGTGATTACGAAGAAGAAGAAGAAGAAGAAGAAGAATATAAAGTTCAAAATCAAGTATCGGAGGACGACGATGACATGGCGGACCAAGTCTCTTGCATCAGTCTCCACAGACGAGAACCAACCAAACGAGGTATAAATCAACTCGGAAAACTTTTTTATTTTCCCGGAAAATGTAGGAAACTTTCATTTTCTTGGAAATTCTCAACACTATTCTTGCGATGTTAATGGATTCAAATTGTGCTACCTCTGTTCTGGATTGATTGGGTCATTGATTCGACCAATAATGTGTACCCAAGAAGAAAAAAAAAAACTGTAAAATAGTACTCAAAATTCTAGCACTTTTTTGCACAATATATTGTTTCATATGGGAGTTCAAAAATATTGTGAAATTTATTTCATTTTCTTTATTTTCACAAATCTTTCCATCCAGACATAACCTATAATGATGGGTATAAGATTATAATAAAAAAAATTTATATAAATTAATTAATTTCTTACTCATTTACCTCACATGTAATAATACAAATTTAAAATGAGACTCATTACAATAATATAGTAGATGTCACTAAATTAACCCAAAAAAAAAAAAAAAGAAGATAAAAGGGTAAATTACACTAATCTCCCTTGAGGCTTGCAAAAAATACAGTACATCTACATTGTTTTGACATAATTACATTGAACTCCATTGAGATTTTAATTCATATATCACGTAACCCTATTTTCATCAATAATTTGTTAGTTGTATGAATGAAAAAATAATATTGTCACCTCTTTTATACAAAATGTATAATATTTTCTGTTGTTTATTTTTATATTTTCATACCATCTACATTAGTTTTGTCCATTTATCCTTTATTAAAATGGATTATGTCAAAACTGTGGGAGTTATTGTATTTTTTTCAAACCTCATGGGAGGTTAGTGTGATTTACGCTAAAATTTATTTATTTTTACGCCATTAGTCTTACAATAAAATGGGGCTAATATCTACCTTTTCTCACATTTGTTGACAATTAATATGGTTACGTTAGGTGAAGAGCAGTCTTGGGATAACTCTGGGCTGTGGAGGCAAGAACAGAAGAGAAGAGCAGTAAGGTTAGAGAAACAGCTCAAGTCAAGATGGGCCCTTGAGGACCTAGTTGAGGAACAGCTGAACAGTTTTCAAGCCCACTACAATCGGGCCACAGGCCCAACCCGGCTCAAGGACGTGGCTCAACTCTTGATGCCCAAGGGGGCTCCGGCCCATGAGATGGCATCGGTGGCCTGGCTCGGTGATTGGAGGCCCTCTGCCATTCTGGACCTACTCCGCTCCATGGCCCAGGTCTCGTCCTCATTGCAATCGTCCCTATGGTCTCTAATGGACTCCTTTGGGATTGAGCAGACTTTAACACAACTGATCCATGAGATAGGGATTGAAGAGGCAGTGCTTGATGAGGAAATGGCTGAGATCCAAGCCAACTGTATCCTGCACCTTCCTTTTGGCCGGGTCAGTAACCGGGCTGGTGGTGGGCCTGCCTTGGCCTGTGTCCAGTCTGAATTCAAGAAGATCCACCGGGTCATTATCAAGGCCCAGAATCTCAGGTCCACTTTACTCTCTTTAGTAAACTATGTTAGGAACCCCTGAACTTTGAGTTTTTTATTTTTTTTCCCGGTTAAGCCTTTACACTAAATTATTGTTGAAATAAGTCCCAACTTGGCAAATTGGTTCAATTAGCCATTTTGTTACATTCCAACCATTTTTGGTGGTTATGTATATCATATGGGGCTTGCCTAAAGGGTAAATTGGTTAAGTAAATACTAAAACCCATTTTCAAACTATCAAACGAAAAAAATCAATTGCCAGTCTCTCAGAACATGTGCTGATTATTTTTATTTTTTTATTAGGATAATGAATTTAGGGTTAATTTTATTATTTGCCCTTCAGTTGGGTCCTATGTGAGAGCATCCATATCATCCTCAACAAATTAATTTTTACTCTGTTATCTTGGATTCCTCATTTTCATTAGAGACAGACAAGATTGATTATTCGAAAAAGAGCTCTACAAGTTCCGTTAGTGTTCTCTCATCTCGTAAAATATTTTGAAACCGAGAATCGTTGGACTCACCCAACTTTTGGCTATATAGCAAATAAATCATGAAAACACTGATCCATCAGATTCAACAAACTAAGTCCATGACTAGCTATCATTATAGTTGTAACAGTTGCTCATATTCATTGTCTATTTAATAGTTTATTATTTTTTGATAGATTTAGCTTCCCTATTTTGATTTTTTTTGGGTACTATTCATTAAAAGTGTGGATAATAAAAGAATTTTTAAATAAAATAGAAGTAGAATAGAGAGTCAATGGATGGTGGTTTTGGGGTTGTAATTTGACACAATTTGTTGAGCCTCATGTGGATGCTCTGATATAAGAAGAACTAAGTCGAACCAATTCAGAAAGTTAGCTTAATTAAATGAAAATTTTAGCTTAAGAACTTAATTAAAAAAAGATGTAAAATTTAGGGCTTTTGGCATAATTTTCTCAGTATGATATTAACTGTAATAACTACCAAGCATTTGACAGTTCAAAAAAATTATACATATGTGCTGCAGATTCAAGGCTCTGGAGTTGGTGGTGAAGAAGGTGCTGAACCAGACTGATGCAGCTGAGTTTTTTGTTGCATTTGTGGGAATTCAAGATTTGATCCATCAGTTTGCGACGCAGCAGAAACTGCGAAAGGGTCCGGTCTCAGTGCCGGTCAAGGCCTTCCGGGTACAGTAGTTGAGAGCAGAGCAGTGGAATGTGAAGGACTCTCTGATCAAAACAATCAGAGTTCAGAAAACCATTAGGTACTGTTTCAATTTCTACCTTGTTAATCAGCATTTGCAAATCTTGAACCTTTTAGTCTTTGCTTTTGTTGAAAATGGCATGGGAGATAATCGTGAAAGTTTGTGTTGAGGAAGCACATTGTGTTGTATGTTCATTGCTGTGAAATTAGGCTTTGATGGGCCTGTTTTGTAATCAATTTTTGTTTTTTCTTTTTCTGTTTTATACTGGAAATTTGTTTGTCAAACTGTTTTGGGAAATTTTTTTCTGGAAAACGATACTCACTTCTTGAGAAATACTGGTAGCGTTTGGTAAAACTTTCTAAATATGATTTGAGAATATGAGTTGTATTTTGAGTTTGTGAGTTGTGGAATTATGATTTGCGTGTGGAAAATTTGTTTGGTGAAAGGTTTTGAATTGAATAGGAAATTTTTGGTCAACCGGTCAGATGGCCAGTGGGACATCCGGTAGGACGTTCGGTGAGACGACCAGTTAGTTCAAATTTTTTCGCCTTCAAACGATACTCACTTCTTGAGAAATACTGGTAGCGTTTGGTAAAACTTTCTAAATATGATTTGAGAATATGAGTTGTATTTTGAGTTTGTGAGTTGTGGAATTATGATTTGCGTGTGGAAAATTTGTTTGGTGAAAGGTTTTGAATTGAATAGGAAATTTTTGATGTGACATATGGTATTTGATACAAAAACTTATAACTCATAATAAAAGACACAACTCAAAATTCTATTAAACTCATAAAAAATTTTAAAAAATTCGAAAAATATTTTTTGTTCAATATATAAAAATTAGCATGTGTCAATTGAAAAAAAAAAATTGCACTGTTTTGGTCAACCGGTCAGATGGCCAGTGGGACATCCGGTAGGACGTTCGGTGAGACGACTAGTTAGCTCAAATTTTTTCGCCTTCAATCGAGTTTTCAAAAATAAACGTGAAATTAATTTTTGAAAACTGTAAACAAACACGAAAAGTTCCAGTCATCTACCAAATAGAACCACTGTTTTTCACACGAAAATGAAAATGATAACGAACTTGCTCATGTATCTTGATCACAATGTTATGAATAATGGGGTAGAGGAAACATAACTTTTTTTTTCAGAACCAAGGATCCTAGGTCCCAAAATGAAATTTTTTTAGGTGTTTGTAGAGCACCATGTGGCAATATCACACACCAATTGCCACGACATATGCTGTCTATCAAAACAACTATACAAAGGTGTCGTTTGCGAAGAGTTCATTTGGGTTCTTTTGCCTCTTTGAGCCACAAAAGACAGAATAAGCTATTTGAGCCACAACAGACAAAACATCACATCCAACCCATAATCATTACACTCTTCTCTCATAAAAAAAGTCAAAAAAGTCAAAAAGTCAAAAAGTTCTTCCCAAATCAAGCTTTTGAGTCCATGCTCAAATAACTAAAAAGTCAAAAAGTTAACCCACTTTTCAAACGGAGACAAAAGTGGTTGATTATACTATCTAAATCAATCACATTCAATTTCACTTTCACATCACAAATGCCTTATTGAGACCCAAAAATTTCTAGAAAATATTATACTAACTGACAAATTTTTCTTACTAACTGATAGATATCACATCATTGAAGCGAATTATGTCTCAAATTCTAAATTTTTTTAATTATATAAAAGAAAAGATAAAATAACCGATGAACATTGCCAAAAGAGATGTCAATTCTTATGTGATAAGTGATGATCAATTTTGAAGATCTTGCAAGTAACAACCTCCAATTGATTTGTTAAAATTCTAGTTGGCATTTGGCATTTGGCATCCTCCTCTTATAGTCAAATTTGACATACAGCTGAATAGACCTTCAAATCTTTTATTTTTCTTTGTTCATAATTTCTCATTACAGAGTTTTGTTCGAAGTTTGAAATTATCATTGTTGATGTTTTGTACCCTGTTAAAATATAAAATTATAAAATAATAAATTTGACATTTTGAATGAAAATTGGTTTATTTGTAAATACCTTAAATTTGAAGATGCCAAAGTGTCATTTAAATTTTCAAATAAATTTGACATACTAGTGCCATTATAACATTCAAGAATAGTCTGGGAATTGATTTTTGCAGTAATTTTTTACGACTAAAACGTGAAAAAAATAGAAAAATTAAGTTCACATTTTCTATTGACTTTTTACTATTTTAACCAATTGCAAAACATCCCCTTAGTTTTCAAATAGGGGTTATACCGTCAAATACCCAAGAGCACATTTATTTGCTACTAAGGGTGGGACTGAAAGTATGTGAACATATGGAGTCCATCGGATTTTAATTTTGTATTTGATTGTGGGATAAAAAATGGAGGATTAAGTACGGAGAGCATCTAGGTTGATCGAATTTTTAATTTTGTGTTTGATTGTAGGACAAAAAATGGAGGATTAAGTATGGTGAACGTCTAGGTTGGCTGAATTTTTAGTCTGTTATTTGTTTGGCTCGGTATTAAAATTTAGAATAAATTTAATGTTGATATGGAGATTAAATGGGAGAAAAAGATGAGAGATTAAGTAATAACACAAGGATTGTGGTATTGGAGGGATTAATTATGTCTTACCATCATCTAATGGTAAAAAATGATTATTATCTTTTAAACCCATTCTAACAAAAAATAATTCCACACTCCTATCAAGCTCTTTATCACATCTATTTATTCTATAGTATAACCTATTCCCATAATTCTATCATATATGTATGCAATCTTTTCATCTCCTCTAATCCCATTCTATCATTTATTTCTTGCACTCATTATATCTAATCTCATAAAAAATAATTCGGTGGCAATTAAATGTGGCCCTAATGGAATGATTTCCTTGTTTTATTTGCTTCACTAGAATGAAATGTAATTGAATGATCATTCTTTAGACTCTTTTAGGAATGGTCATTAATTTACATATTTTTTTATTTATTTTTTAGCTAATCAAATACAAAAGTAAATATTTGAATGAAACGATTATTTCATTTTATTCTAGTGACCCCAATACTACCTTACGTGTGAAAACTTTTATGCTTCTAATTGTTTCATCATCACAATTCACATTAAATTTTAAACATGACAATAATATTGAGAGGATCAAATACATGAATTTTTCTCTTTTTTCTTATCCATTGGGTAGGGTAAATGATATTCTTTAAATATCCACAGGGGATGAGTTGGGGATGGGCACCCACTAATTTCCCTATATGTTTTTTTTTTTTTTAAAGATTCACAACTAAAACTAAATATACATTCAATCTTTTTTCTTTTATTTATTTATTCTTTTTTTCAAGTTCACAACCAACTTTTTTTTTTTTTTAAGATCCACAACCAAAGCTAAATATACCTCAAATCTTTTTTATTATTATTATTTTTAAGGTTCACAACCATTTTTTTTTTAAAAAAAATTTAAGATTCACAACCAAAGCTAAATATAAATTCAATCTTTTTTCTTTTGTTTTTTTGTTTTTAAGATCCACAACCAAAGCTAAATATATCTCCAATCTTTTTTTTTTTATTTTTAAGGTTCACAACCATTTTTTTTTTTAATTTTTAAGATTCACAACCAAAGCTAAATATACATTCAATCTTTTTTCTTTTGTTTTATTTTTATTTTTTTTTTATTTTTTAAGGTTCACAACCATTTTTTTTTTTTTTAAGATTCACAACCAAAACTAAATATACATTCAATCTTATTTTATTTTATTTGGCTCAATAATGAAATCAAATACACATTAATTAACATTATCACATTATTCTTGTCAAATTTTATGCATATCTAGAATTTTTTAAATTTATTTCAAAAAATTAAGGACACTGTTTAGTACAGGTTTCGGTTTGCTTTTCTATGTTATTTTATTTTGTAATGTATTGTAATTTTCAGAATGGTTTGCTTGTTCTGAAATTTCAATTAACGAGTATGAATCTATTTGTTTTATGTTATCACACAATTTATACAACATATATATATATATATATATATATATGAATGTATTTGAAAATAAGGAAATTGTAGAGAATCAAAACAAGCATGAGTCGTGCATTGGTTAGAAATGATGGGCATAATATTTATTTGCTGGAAAAACAAAAGGGATACAAATCTTACTAAATTATTTTTTTAAAATAAAAGAATTTTCTTAGTTATGATCAGATTTAACTAAAATTAGCTTGTTTCCCAATATTGCTTCATTTATTTAGATAGAAAATATTTTTAATGAAAAATATTTTTTATAAAAAAATTTAAAATATATTTTTTTATATTTGGTGGTTGTGGTGATGGACGAAGGTGAAAGTAGAGATTGTGACATAGTGGTGGGTGATGGCGGCAGTATGATGGTAGTGGCTATAATGAGGTAGTGTGATAGTGAAAGTGAGAATAGTGTGATGGTGTTGTGAAATTAGTAAAAATTTAATTGAAAAAATATTTTTTGTTTTTTAAAAGTAACAAATAACAAAATTCGTGGGGGATAAAGGAAGAAGATGGAGGATGGATTGGGTGTGGTAAGGTAAGATATCTTAAAATGAGTGGTTCAGATTTGCTAAGAGAAAGATGGTTTAATGGCTAAAATGTCCGTGACTAAGAGATCAACAAACAATTTCTTGTTTATGCCCTGATGCAATTTAATATGGGTCTTATAACACTTTCTTCAAACAGGTTCTTTCACATTTTATTTTTCAAACAGGCTTTATAACATTGAACAGTTCTTATAACATGTAGGGGAGAGAGTGAGAGTGAGAGAGAGAGAGATGGTTGTAATTTTTTTTTTAATCTTCCACGTTCTTCACATTTTTTTAATTATAAAACTTATTTGATTGTTCATTATATATTATTATTATAAAAACAATTTTTAATAATTAATTAATGTGTATTTGATTTGTTGTTGAACCAAATAAAATAAAATAAGATTGAATGTATGTTTAGTTTTTGTTGTGAACCTTAAAAAAATAAAAAAATAAGTTGTTAACTTAATTATTAAAAAGAAAAAAAATATTAAATTATAACTTTAAAAAAAAAATTGTTAACCATTAAATATATAAAAAGAAAGAAAAAGATTGAAGGTATATTTAGCTTTTGTTGTAACCTTTAATATATATATATATATATATAAAAAGTTAACATTAAATATTAAAAAAGAAAGAAAAAAGATTGAAGGTATATTTAGCTTTGTTGTGAACTTAAAATAAAAAAAATAAAAATAAAAAAAATTTAACATTAAATATATTTAAAAAGAAAGAAAAAAGAT